GATTACCTCCTCTGAGCTGGGAGAGGTGGGACAGGGGCCAGGAGCAGCAGTAGGGATGGTGGCCCAAAAGCCCTTTCCTGTAGTCTGGGAGCAGCGGGAGGGATGGTGGCTGGTCAGCCCCTTCCTCTGGACCAGGAGCAGTGGGATCGTGGCTCAGAAGCCCCTACCTCTGGGCCAGGAGCAGCGGGACAGAATGTGGCCCCGAAGCCCTTTCCTCTGGGCTGGGAGCAGTTGGAGGGATGGTGACCGGGAAGCCCCTTCCTCTGGACCAGGAGCAGTGGGACGATGGCTCAGAAGCCCCTACATCTGGGCTGGGAGCAGCGGGACTCAGTACCATGGTCTAGTGGTCTCGTGTCCTCTGCATCTTTGTAGTGTGGAACCAGGTGGCTGCCTGTCTGCAGCGGGGTGATTAGGCATCTTCTTTGTGACTCAGGACGTTGGTAAGGCGTGCACAAACCTGCCTGTCTGCAGTGGGCTGATTCGGCGTGTTTTGTGACTCAGGACCTCCTGTTTTGGTTTTTTGAGACAGGGTCTCACTATGTGTTCAGACTGGCCTTGAACTCTGTATGTAGCTTAGGCTGGTCTTGAACTTGTAGTGATCATCCTGCCTCAGCCTCCTGAGTGCTGGGATTACAAGCACGCACCACCACACCTGGCTGTAGGATATGTTTTTAAATTAGAATAATTTGTTAAGGTAAAAGACACATTACTATTAATCCCCCACTTCAAGCTAATTCCATCCATCTTGCCACTTTCTGAAGCACTTCTAGGGTCTTCTTTCTTGTCTTTGGTTATGCTGTCATGGCTGTGATATCCTGAATCAATTCAAAACATTTACCTTTCACGACTATCTTGACTTTGGGGGAGAGCCAGAAGAAGTTACTTGGTACCAGATCCAGTGAATAAGGTGGATAAGAACACACCATAATGTTTTTGGGAGCCTGCCTTTCCCTAGGATGACACTCAGCAGCAGCCTTCACTGTATTGTTGATCACACCCGATAAGACAGAGTAGGACTTCTGGAACTGCTTCAGAAAGTGACAAGAATGATAGGATAAGTGTGTTTAAAGTGAGTTTTGGCTGGGTGTGGTGGCGTACACCTGTAATCCCTGCACTTGGGAGACTGAGTCAGGGAGTTTGAGGCCAACTTGGACTACATAGTGAGTTCAAGGCCAGCCTGAACTCCATAGTGAGATGCTGTCTCACAACAAACAAACAAAAAATCCAAAAACTAAAAAATGCACAAAGTGAGTTTTGAGGGGTATTAATGGCGATGTGTCTTTTCCTGTGATAAATTTTTAAAAATTTAAATATTCATTTTATAGTTTGGTCACACCTCATACAAAAGAAAGAGGTGAGAAATATTTCCTGTTCTCTCAAAATAGGTAACTGAAAACTTTTGAAATAATAGTGTAAGTCATAGTATAAGAATCCTCTCCATTAGACTTCCCATCATATTAAAGGCCTAGAACCACACAGCACTTTTGGGAGAAGTCTCCTAGGCCAAACTACCCATTTTATGGAGGTGAAAAAAGATTTGAAGAATTTAAGCCATTTGTGGAAAGTCCCACACTCCAGTGGCAGAGTCAGGTTTGAAAGTCTGGTGTTTGAATCCCCAGTCTGTTGGTGGTCATTTCATCTCCCTGTTTGTAAGAATGTTCTGTGATTTAAGGATACTTTTAAATAGAAAAACGAGGTGTAAACAAGAGTATGAAAACTGATTACTGCATTCAGCTCCTGCAGGGTGCAGTTCACAGGCACATGCACTCGGGACCTTACTCCGTGCACCTGTCATTTATATCGTGCTGATCTAGCGTAATGCCAGTAATACTGACCTAGTTCCATTATTTGTATTAATTTATTTAGCTAGCAGGGGAAACTGCTCGGTAATACACTCCCAGTTGTAAAAGAGGGCAAGATGCAAGACTCTGCCGGTGCCCACCATCAGAGCATATCTTGAGTTAAAAAGCAGGATCGGAGGTTGGGGAAAAAAACTAAACAGGGCCAGAATGAACGTGTGCATGGGGGCTGTGCTGGGGAGTGAGCAAGAAGGTATGATCAGCTTATTGAGGTTTTAGAATTTTTATGTCCAGATCCAGGAACCAAAAGGTAACCCTTCTCCAGAGAGTCCGGGGAAGTCTGAAGAACTCAGTTCGGGGGAGCGCTCCCTGGACTTCGCGCCGCGTGTCCCCCTCCCTTCTCCCAGGACAGAGGGCCCCACTTGCCACCACAACCTGGGGGCCTCAAGCTCCTGCTCGCCTGTCCTGCCTTTTCTGCCCAAGGGCGACGTAGGCTAGAGCAGCTCTCGGGGCTCATCCATCAGCCTTGGAGGCGAAGGGGAGGAGAGAAGAGGCGGGAGGCAGGAGGCGGGAGGAGGAGTTTCTGGGCGGCCCCGAGCCCCCGTGGGGGCGCAGCGGCGAGGCGCCCTTCCCCCCGCGCGCTGATTGCTGTGGCGCCCTGCCCGGCCCCGCCCGCGCGTGTAAGAGGGAGCGGGAGCGCGCTGGCTCGGCCCGATGGGGGAAATCGAGGGTTTTGGGGACGCGGAGAGACACTTTCCCCTTCCCAAGGAGTGAGGGAGAGAAGTCTGCGGCTCTCGCGCCAGGCCACTTTCCCTGCGCGATTCCTGGAGCTCCCTGCAGGAGGTGAAAGTCCTCGGCCTGTCCGGATGGCGTAGTTGCGCCGAGGCGCAGCTGCTGCCGGAGGCGAGCGCTGGGTGGGGAAACTTTCTCTGCTGTCCTGCAACTTGCAGCGGGTGGATCTGCTCGTGACACACGCCTCCGAGGTACGTGCGTGCGGGCCCAGGCTCCTCAGCGCTGCTGGCCGCGGGCTCTGCAGGGTGCGCGGTGCGGGTCCGCGAGGCGCGCGAGCTCGGTGTCTGCTTCTCGGCCGGGGTCTCTGCGGCTGGCTGCGGAGCTCCGGCCTCCTCAGGGCGGTGTCTGTCTGCGGTGTTTACGCTCGGAGGAGCGGGCACCTGTGGCCAGCGACGCGCGGGTGGGCAGCGCTCGTGGCGATGCTCAGTGCCAGGGAGGAGTCCTCGCATGCCCTCACTCTTCCTCTCCGCGGTTCCTTCTGACCTTTGTGGGGCGCGCTGGCCCCTTCTCTCCCGGCGCGTGACAGCGTCCCTGGGAAAGGTTTGTTGTGGGTTTGCAATGAATTGCGGCGGCAGAGACCGCAGCTCAGGGACCTGCGCACCTTCGCGATCTGCGCTTCCCGCTGGCAGCGCCCTCGGGTGCGGCTGTCCGGGCTGACTTAGCCGCGCGCCCCGGTGTATGTGGAAGACTCTCTTCATGTGTTAACTCGTTTCGGTTAAACTTGGAAATCTTGGGGCTGTCGCTAGAAGAATGTGATTGCGGCTTGTTCTTATTAGGGCATTTGCCCCACTTTCTAGAATTATTTAGTGTAGGGAGCCGGCGTGTCAAGCACGAACTACCTTCGCTAAGTAAAATCTAATGGATTTTATATCTACCCAGAAAGCTGGTAGAAGAAAATCGCCCCATTTCCTTAGCTGTACCAGCCCCACGAAGTTGCTGTGAGGACTGAATGACTTCCATGTCAGGTGTTGGCACTGCTTGTCCCAGGCCCACGGAGACCGGAGAGGAGCGGGGAGTGTGTGGGGGGGAGCTGTAGGAGAGGCGGCCCAGAGGAGGAACCTGGTGTTTGCTGAGTTCCTTGGGGAGCGGTCTGGGAGGAGATAGGTCTCCACATGCAGTAAAATCGGGACAGGGCTTTTTTTTTTTTTTTTTTTTAAGTAATGGGGATCGAACTCAGGACCTTGTGCGTACGAAGTAGGCAGCAGAACCACTGAACTAAATCCCGGGCCCGGGTCAGGGCTTTTAATCTTCCTGTAATGGTACTTCTCACAGCAGACGGTTACTTCAGTGTGAACAAGGCTTTCTTTTGGGTAATAATGATTGATTGATGTTTGTTGAGCCTCTGCTCCGCGCAGACACTTCTGTTCATAGTGGCACAGTCGCACTTAAGCATCACATTAAATCTGTAATAAAAACCCCACCCGCCCCATTTTACAGCTAATACACCACAGGTTAGGTTACTCGCCCAAGAGCACACACACCTGTGAGTTCTAACTCCCGAGCTAGTTTACCCAATGGGCCCGAGCAGCAAGTGCAATCACATTTGTGTGCAGTGAGTTCACGGTCTTCTTTCATTGCCCAGCTTCCTTTTTGAGCTGAATACGTCTTTTGAAATATATAAAATATCTGTGATGAATCTAGATCATTTTGTATATATTACATATATACACACACTTATGAGGTGCCAAATTGAAGCTCCTCTGAAACTGGCTCCAAATTGTTATAAATAGCTCTCTGACTTATATTAATATAGCTCTTAGTCTTAATTTCTTTTATTAATTCTCCAGACATTGTTGATCGCCATTACTTGGCTTCCTTAGGAAACAGCTTGAGGTTGGCACTGGAGGCAGGGAAATAATTCTTACCCCCTTAAGGGCTATTAAAATGGAATTGATTTCATGCCATTGTGTTAGTTAAAGGATGTTGCTCTGTTTCTTGGTGTTCTTTGCTTTTGGCTTTAATTATTCATTGTTTAGCAGTCAAGACTTCAGCATATTTTTTTGTCCTTTAGTTTATATTTGTCATTTGTCAACCTTTATTTTTCATCTTGTGATGGAATCTGACTATTGCATGGCAGGTTTGCTTAACAACTGTTGATTTGGCTCATGTTTTTAAATATAAAAATCATCAACTTGCTTTTGAACCCCAGAACTTTAAAGCAATCCCTGGGGAATTCATTGTTGTTTTTAATATTAACCAATAGGGGGAGCACAACACACTACTGCACTGATGTCTGTAAGGCACGTAAGCTGGTTAGTTGGGTATTAAACATACACTTCAGAAGTAGAAAAGGTTGTGCTTTTATCTAGCAAATTAATCAAGTTTCTTTCTGAATTTGCAATGGAGAACTAGATTTAATTTCAACGGATGAAAATAAGAACGACCTTAAAGATAGGGCCTGTATGTTAGCTACATGTCAAGAACTCTGTGGTGGCTGGACAGATACTAAGTACAAACATGTAGGGTTTTTTCAACTTGTTTTCCTTAAGAGGTGTGCATGTGAAATAATTTTGTGTAGTTTGAATAATAGTTAAGGTTAAGAGAAATGGCAATTCAGAGAAATCCATTGTGAATCTTTTTTTTTTTTGGTATTGGGTTTCAAACTCAGGACCTTGTGCTTTTGAGGCAGGCAGCAGCACCACTGAGCTAAATCCCCAGCCCCCATTGTGAATCTTGATATAATGATCCTAATTTATCTTTTGCATAAAACTGTTTGTAATGATTTATTTACAGGTTGGTTCACTCACAATCCTGCCATTATTATCTTCTGTTAACATCTTCCAAATGTAAAACAATAAAGGATTCTTGGCCTTAAATTATAATAATTTGATCACTGTGCCTTCTTCAGAGACATATATTTTAGTACGGATTGAATATACTTTATCTGAAATGCTTGGGACCAGAAGTGTTATGGATTTATTCGGAGTTTAGATTACATGCATATACATTATAAGCTCTCTTAGGGAGGCAACCTAAGTTTAAACGTGAAATTTATGTCCATAGCCTACAGGTAATTTTATACAATATGTTTAGAGCTCCTGCATTTTGGCTTTGATCTGTCACATGAGATCAGGTGTGAAATGACTTGTGTCATTGGTTCTGAAAAAGTTTTGGACTTTGGAACATTTTGGATTTTTGGATTAGTGATGCTCAATATGTATAGTAATAGTTCGAAGTATCATATTTGCTACACTTTTGATATATGCGATGTGTCTATTGACAGTCATGTCTGTAAATACATGTATAAATAACATTTGAGAATTAACCTGCTTGAAAAATCCCAGTTAAACTAACTTTATAAAAAGGTTTACTATCTTTGCAGTTTTATAGGCCAGTTTCCCTTCTTGTTTCTTTTGTATAATGTATTGATTTATTAACCAAGTTAGGGGCAAATGGACCCTGTTTTAAAATAACTTTGAAATTTAGCCCCCTATTTCTGTATTCCAACATTGCCCTTAAACTGCAGAATAGTGTTTATTTCAGATCTCATTTAGTAGTTTACTTAATTCCACAAATATTTATCAGCCTCATACCCCCTAATTGGCTTGTGGTTCCTAGTTTTGGAGTTTGGCAAATGAGCTGTCCACATTCAGTTCTCTGATAGGAGGGGACCAAGATGCCTGATGGATGCCTAGGGCTCTGAAAGCCTTGGTCTCTGAAAGCTTTGTTTGTTTGTTTGTTTTTCCCCTTTGAGACAGTGTCTTGCTTTGTAGTTCAGGCTTATTATGACCTCACTGTGTAGCCCAGGCTGGCCTCAAACTCATGGCACTCCTCCAGCCTAAGCCTCCTGAGTGTTGGTATTACACCAGGCCAGGTGTCACAGAAAGCCTTTAAGGATTGACAAAATTGATTTACTGGAAGGAAAACTATGGCCTCATTCTCTTTAAGAGTCAAAAGGGAACTCATCTTTCCCCTTTGCATACAAACTTGGTTGTATCTTATAAAAGTCAGGTGGTTGTGAGGGCAGACTTTGGGCCTAAAAGACCAGGGAACTCAAATATCTTTTGTCTTCTAAGAAGGTGATCACTGTTGACTTCTTTAATAACTAAGTGATGACCAATTTCCTGGGATTATAAATCTGTGAGAGAGTCTGTCTTTACATTTTAAGCCTAGCAAAACAGAATTTAGAAAAGGGCTGGGTAAGTAGTAACCTTGCTGTACTATTTTTCCTGGATGGTGCTGCTGGGTGGTCATTTTGAATTGTCCCTGTTTTCAGTAGTTCATTTTAAAATATATTTTTTTCTGACCTTTCCTTGTTATTGTATGAAAAATTGTCAGATCTATTAATTAATAGAGGACCATCTTTTTTTTTTTTTTAATGGTTTTGACAGTAATTTTGTTACCATTTTGATCAGTCCACTGGAAGATTTTCCTTTTATTTGTCAACTTGTTGAACTTTTTTAAAATTTAAAAAATGTTAACTACTTTTTGAAATTTGTATAACCTGAGCTGGGTAAATGCTTTTAGGGTCTTTAACTTAAAAACAGTTTTGCATAGGAATATGGACACTAGGAATGTAAGAATGTATCCAATCTATATGAAAAGCCAGCCTTTAAAAGATTCAGCAAGGGCATTTGTGTCTTGGGAGAAAATTAAGTGCATTAAGTAATTTCTCTGGTTCCACATATTCAGAGTAACACTTGGAGTGATAGCACTGCTTCTTTGTAGCATTTCATAAAACACAAGCTGTTGCTAATTTGTTCAGTTTCCAGTGAAGTTGAAATAAATCTACACTAGTTGGAAGGGTTTTACAAAAAGATTTGGGTTCATTTCCTGGGCTCTGTCCATTTCTAGATTTCTTGTTTTATATTATTTGAAATAACACATTTGCTTGTTAACTGACATTGAGCTTTATTTTCTCTGCTTGCAAAGTCTTTGCTTAAGATTTAGCACAGATTTCCAACCATTTTCCCTCCCAACCTTAGAGACTACTGATTTTGATCCCTTGCTATCTCAACCAAGATGTGTGCAATATTTCATATTTGAAGCAACATTAACATAAATTCTGTCTAAGGCCACACTCATTTGGATCTTATGCTGCAATTTTTATTCTTTAGTGTTTCAGGCCAAGCATGGAGACTTAATAAACTGACAACTACTTATGAGAGTTAGAAACCATATTTAAAATGGAAGGTCTGAAATAAGAGTCCCAGAACCATTTCTTCAGCCATCATGATATAACTTGATGATA